TGTGGAATCGTAGGTTGTATGTTGAGGTTTCGAAGAAATAAATCTCAAAAATATTAAAATATTTAGTAGATTCATCTAACAATGTCGTTAAATCGTCCACACAATTTTTGGATAAGATTAGAGAGATTCAAATCAACAATGACGAACTGATAATATCCTTCAGCGTAATGGTCATATTCACCTCGATGGAACCAAGCTTAAAAAAGAAACCGCATCTCCTCTCTTCACAAACGAAAAATCTCCTAAAGTGCACGAAGCTCCCAAGTTAAAGGCTACTAGAATTCGTCGATTTATGCTTAACATATTTTTAACTCAATAATAAAATCTACGAACAAATGAATGGAACACCAATGAGATCACCAATATGAGGACTTGTTACAGAGGCAGTGACAAAGAGATTGAAAACCTCGAGCAAGCCAAAATTATGGATTCTTTATGTGGACGACACGTTTGTCATCATCAAAAGGGCGAGCTAGAAAGTACCTACAATCTGATCAACAACGTCTTTGATGACATAAAAGCCACAATGAAAAAGAGTCGAAAAACAAACTATCATTCTTGGATGTATTGATTACCAGAATCGGCGTAGGAAAACTGAAGATTCAAGTGTATCGGAAGCCAGTACACATAGATCAAATTCTCAACTACGGTAGCAACAACCTAAAAATTCACAAAATCAACTACATACAAACCTTATTCAAAAGGGCGAGGACACACTTGCAGAGCGGAAAAGTGAAGAAAGATATCTAATGACTATCCTCCGAAAGAACGGCTTCATAAAAATATCAACCCAACACATCGGCATAAACGAAACAATATACAGAAACTAGCATACAACATATAAAAGGCATCAGAAATTACGAGATTATTGAAAACTTTTGGAATGGGAGTAGCACACAAACCAACGTAATCACTTCAATGAATCTTATGCAAACCAAAGGACGAAACGACAGAAGGTGAAAAGCTAAACATAATCTACAAAATAAACTTCCAATTGTGAAAAACACTATCGGACAAAGTGAATGCCCCCTTCATCTTCGCCTGCATGAACATCAACTAGGGATAAAACGTCATGATATATCTTCGCTTATATCGATCCATGTAACCAACTGTGAACACATATTCGACTGAAAAATTGTTGAAGTCCTGGATAGAGGGAATACTAAGAACACCAGAGAAGTTTTAGAAAATTGGCACTAAAACCAATCAGTGATCGACAAATATATCTAAACCGGCCCAACCTGTCAGCTAATCATAAAAGTCATGGAGAAATAAAGGACTGGAAATCAGACCAAAGGAAGATGCTATCACAATGAAAACTCAAACAATGCAAGACTGTAGTTCAATAATAACCAATCAAGATCGAGATTCACAACTCAAGCTGAGAGTCATATGTGAGGAAATTCGAGTACTTCACTTCTACCCGAAGTTTGTGCTGATGATGTTGGCCAGAAGAATAATGAAAACCCCATGACCAAACCATGGTTTGAGAGAACGAAATTCCACCACAATCATACACCTGAGTAAAAAAATCTTCTTCACTATCTCGGAATCGTAGGTGTACTTTAGTGTATAGTTTGATTTCAAGATAAAACATCTCATCATTTAATACACTTCTTTAATTTAAGTTAATCCATAGTGAAACTAATTTAACATTGAAATATGATAGCACAATATCGAGAATTCATGGAAGCTAGAGTTATATACCAATTGATACTGTTTAATTGATCTACAGTAAATGTGTTTGAACACGACATCAAACATCCTGGGTTCATTTCTCGGTTACGGAGTTATAAATGAGCATTGTTAAGGAGCTCCATGCTAGAACAAAACAGTAATCTAGTGCTTCCTACTTTTACTTGGATCGGTTCATGATCTCAATCTAATTAAAATAGTTGATTTTAAAGCTATTTAGTTCATGTAGTAAATTTGAAATCACATTTAATTTATGTACTGATATATAAACTTCTTATTTATCATTCTTTCATTTACATTTACCAGTACCAATTTGTTCTGTTTATTCAATGTTATAGTTTTGTTTTAAGTATAAACCGTTTTATTGTCATGATTTTGTTTAGCGGAATAAAAGTGTCATTAATAATGTATCATATTGTTTGCTTATTGTGGATTAAATTTGGTAGGCTGTCTTATTCCATAATAATAGTAACAATAATAATAATAACAGTTATTATTATTATTATGGCAACAACAGTAATAATAAACCACCATGGACATAAATAACTTATATTACTGGCAATTCAATGAGAGCGTTAAATCAAACTTGTAGCCGCCTATATTTTTATGAATTTACAATATAAAACAATATACATATTTGTATAGTAGAATGAGAACATTATTACCCGCATGAAAATGCAGAAACTAGAAAGGATGTTTGTATATGTATATATATATGAAATATGACATAGATTATGTTTCTCAATTATTATCTCTTTATATACAGAAATAAATCTCGAAACAGATTATTCTCCTAATAATTATATCTTGGTTTAATTCATATTAAATTCATACTTTATAATACATCAATGCAATACAAAGAATCTTTATGTTCATGTGTTGAATCAAATTGGTATATGATCTAAATGGTAATACAGAAAGTTAGTTTTAATAGGAGAAAGAAAATCTTAGAACAAAGAGAAATGTCTATATAGTGTCATACAAAATATTCTCTACTTTACAAATGTAAACAAAGAAAGAATAATATAATTGTCAGAATAAAATTAATTCATTTAACCCTTCTACTTAGATGTAAACAATTTCTCAAATGTGTGAATATTAAGATGGTGTGATGATTAAGTTCATGACCTAATGAACCAGGTCGCTTAGCTTGAAGGTCAAATTAGATATCTTTCTAACTTATGATTAAAATATAACTACATTTTAAGCAAAGATGGATAGTGGCTAGCAGTGGAATCTAGGACGAGAGCCACTTCACACTATTTGGGACTCTACAGCTGGATGTACCTGCGTCTTATAGTTGATGTTCACTCCGGGACTCGAATCCAGTACCGTTCGCTTCAAATGCCATCGTGTTCTACATTTAGCTACTGAGTCCTGGTAGCCACGAAACGCGCGTCCTGGATTCCATTGTTAAACACTATCCATCTTCGCTTAAAAGGCTTGTGACTTAAGGTAATATTGAGGCAATCTGCACAGGATGCACATATACTAACATGAGATTGATCAATTGCAGTCCTACATAACCATAGGAGGATACAAATAAAACAACATCAAGCGAATTTATAACATGACACTGTTTAAACATAATATGCTTGATGTTTTGAACTGCCTAGTTCTCACATTACTGTTTAGTGTATGTTTGTAATAAATCAGTTCATTTGAAATTGGACAACTGTGTTATTAAGTTTTCATATTTTTAATGACTCATTCTTTATTACATAATTAATTGATTACTGGGTAGTGACTAATATCACCTTTGTTTAATCCTCAAATAGCACACATAGTTTCGAGTTAGACTAGTGATCGTTGTGTAACTAGATCGATAAAAATCGGTCAGCACTAGAGGATTAGATCAACCAATCGTAAATACCTTAATCTAACAGTAATTCAATTGGTGCACAATTGCATTTGTGGTAACATACCATGCTATGAAGCACGATGACAAGGAGTCAAAGCTTCCAGAAAGCACCAATTTCCTCAAGATTACAAGTATAGCCTTCTGATGAGTGTTAAAAATAGCCATAAACCTAGACCATGCACAGTTTTATGTCAACTATCTTCAAGCCCTCAACATTCTGTATTGAAATGTAGAAAGAAATCATTTATTTATTTTGACAAGCGTTAAGAAAATACAGTGACAGATAAAACAATATATCGGTTACTATCCAATCATCTAAGTGATAAATGCTTTGAATCTGAAATCGGTTGACACACATTTTAATTCCACACAAAGTATCAGTTCTATGCTGGTTGTAGATATACCTTTTCTGACGAGTATTAACTAGAACAAAATTTGAATATCGGCAACTAAACTGATTTCCATCAATCACTTAACATATAAGAATAAATTTGCGAAAATCATACAGTTGTAACCATATTCTAGTGAATAACTACCTGGAATAAAAAAACAAACAAACAAACAGACAGCAACTGACATTTACATCTTGATTGTTATTCATTTACAACAATAACTGTTATCTGTAAAAAAATAATTTAAACATGTCTGAATGTTAAGATGAAACATAGTTTATATTCATTTTGCCTATTTCATTCGCTGATAATCTCTCTTTCATTTATACAAATATTTAATATTCTCTTTCTAACACCTATCTTGTTTTGCACATTTTAAAATAACCTCACTTTTGGAAAGACAGAAGAAATATCAAAATTTATTTGCACATTATACTTTACTGAATTGATATATATATATATATATATATATATATATATATATATATATATATACCGTATCAATAATGTATACCTATATAATAGTGAATGTTTTTAGTTTCAATGTTCATTTCACTTTCTATATTCATGTTTGTAAATCAAAAACAAAAACAAACTCCATTGAAACTGATCTTTCACATACTTTTGTTTTACTATCTTATCAGTATAAATATTCATATAACTGGGCATTAAACTATCTACATCTTTAGTACTACTAGTCATTAAATTATGTAATCATTTCACAAAACTGTACATATATCTATACTTAACCTTTACATTTACCGACATACATTCAACATTGAATACTCTGATGATGATGATTATTATTATTTTTTCATTTTTTCACTCCATACTATTTAATGGATTATTTTTCTTAGTGTATGAAAGAAACATTGATTTTTCCTGTCTAAATTAACTGATCATCTATTATAGTTACAGTGATAGGTACATAGAACTACATATATACAGCATGTACACAATACAACACAATTTAATTATGTATCTTTAATTTCGTAGTTGTGTAGATTTCACTCTCTCTATGTATGTGTATATACATGAAGTGTAGACAGTAATTTTAATTGGTTAAAATAATTGTTAGTTTATTTGTTTAAATGAATGGTTCAAAATGTTTATAGTCTATAGGTAACTATTGATATACTTAAAGGTGTACGTAGAGGTGTAACCAACATAGAACGATTATTAATACAATCACTAGAGCCTACTGTTATACTAACTGATTTTCTTATTGGATTTATTTAACTTTGTACACGTACAATTACACAAATAAACAAAATGTGTTCATTTGTAAAATGTGCAAAAACTTTCATCATAATGTTTTTTATTGTTTATTATGAATAAAGGTTAATTCATGTTTTTTATTTTATTTATTTGGTAGCCTTTATGTTTTATACAATTACAGTAAAGGTATATAAACGAGAAAAATAATTCTATGATTTAGTTCTTCACATATACTGACGGTTAATAATCAGTAGGAACGGAATGAATTTACAAAGAACTGACCTTTGTGATCAGATAACACACTAAACAGAGTGATGTAATAATAATAATAATGATAAGGTTATTATTGTGTGTAACCATTTGATTAATATGTATTTATTATGAGGTAATAAAACAGCTGGAAACAATAAATTGACTGACATTTAATTATATCAGGAATTTGTTTCTTTTTGTACATGATGAATAAGTTTTATGAATCCGGACTTATTTTGTTTGTCATGTATTCTTGTAGTTTAATCAAAAGATGTTTATTTTGAAGAAAGTTAGATTAATAAGATTTGAAGAATGAGATGAATTCGTTCCATTTCAAGTGTTTCATCAACTGTTAAAGCTCAAAGTTGAGTGATGTTAAACATGTTATTTATTGTAAGTTTGGCCTGTTTTCACTCTATATGAGCCAATGAAATACAATGAATTTAATTTATTCAGAGAAGCTTATTCTTTCATTGTCTAATATCAGTGAAGTAATCAAATAATTGAAGTTAAGTACAGTCAGTTGAATGAATCCCTTGACTTCAGGCTACTTGCATTCGAACGAATTTATTAGTTACCAAAACCCGTAGTATATCAAGGGATTTAGCAAGTAAATATCAATTTTACTCATTTCATTTAGAACAGAACACATGTAAGCGCAACTAAAGTTAGTTTTTTTAATATTAAAAGAGTTTTCATGTGGCTGTTCTCAGTAGCTTACTTCATTATCTTAAGCATATGAATCAGTAGTTTATCTATTTAATTACTCATAGTCAGTGTTATGACTGTGACTGGAGATTAGAGCGCAGCGAATTATCGAGCTGACCAAAGACGCGTAAAACACGTAAGAAAGACCTAGAGTCCCGATTGGCCCTGCTTCCCTGTCTAGCCCAGCCGGTTGAGTTCAGAACGCAAGTCTCAGCCTCTGAGATATGAATCATTATATTTCAAGCATACTCTGTTTATATACCAATCAAACCGACCACAACGTACCAATAAAATAGAAAATAACATTTGTACAATAATTAGCCAGAAGTGGCTGTGAATATGGGAGGTAGCGACTAACAGATAGGGAATAATTCATGAATGGTAAATCGTACAATAATAGTTCATAGGTCAACATAAAGCTCATAATAAGAGGGACATGAATATGAAACAGTTTAGTTACATAACAATTATACGATAAAAATATACGCCTAGTACTGGTTCATAAATAGATCCCAAAAATCACCATTCATTATTTTCATCGGGATACAACAGTCAGATTACACCAATTTACATTTTTGGGCCTCTATAAAGCAATACTTTATTAATTACTAAACAAACACTTTTTATCGTAGCAATAAATCACAGTTTAAAAATATTCTAATAGAACAGTCATGTTATTATTGTTGGTATTTTCTAATCAGTGATTAATTCTTTAGAACATTTCCCGTGAATACTTGTTCAATCTAGTTTAAAGACTGTGAAATATTACAGCGAAATCAAGTGAGAAAACGTATTACATTGAAAAAGCAAAATGACTCATTTACTCAAAGGGAAAAGAAACAGTTTGACTGTGATTATATTAGTTTAGTATAAATAGATTGTTATCTTTTTGGTTGTAAATGTAATCACAAACATTTTCATTATCCTTGTTTAACATGTGGTATAAAACTGAAATAAACCATTGTTTTTGTATTAAAATGAGTAATGTTTTATGTTCATTTCACTGCATTTATTTCTTTAAACACATAAACATTGGTACAAGGAGGCAGCAAATAGATATGCGCCACATAAATCATTCGATATATGTGAGGACTAGAAAACTCCCCGCTTGTCCAAATCAAAGCGAGTGGTTTTCTTAGGTGGCCACACTCGGAGCCTTTAACCTAAAGGTCTAATCCATAAGGCAGTGAAGCATCGTAAGGAGATGCAGTCCCATGGTAGCCTCTGATCAACGATTTACTTATACGCCATTTGTTTGCTTAGGATCCTAGAGACCATGTACACCAATGGTTTGGAATGAGGGTTTTCCGACTCCCTTAGGTTGACTCTCTGTGTCCACCAACACGGTTAAAGCGCCGGACATTCGAGTTTCATCTTCTCAATTTCGTAAACAACACCCGTGGTACGAGAAGTCATTGAGTAGGATTTCCCTGGCAGTGGTTGTATGCACGGGGCCATTTGTGAGTATTTCGAGAGGGAGAGAGTTGATCCTCCCCACTCTCGGTCGTATTAGGGCATTTCTCTGCATAATGAGATATGAATTATACACTGATTCCGTAAAGTATTAATCCTCAACTTATTACTCGTGATAAGGAATTCTGATATCTGTCTCAATAATCAATATACTGATACTAGGTGATAAATCATCTTAGTGTTACAATCAAACGCTTCATTAAGTGATAACAGTCGTTTGTTATCAATGTTTATCTCATAATAATCTAAACAAATATCACTTAAGTTTTACTCAGTCAATGAATTAGTACTTTTTAGCATTTAACTAGTCATGTTTATTGATGTGAATCATATTCTTCTTCTTATTATTATTATCCAGAATTACCAGATGAACAAGCAGAATTGAGAAACGATATGAAACTTGAATCAAAATCTCATCTACAATATGGAGTAAGTTAAAAGAAATTTGTCAGTTTATTTTTTAATTGTTTAAAGAACACTTTGTATGCAAATTAAATTTGTGGTCAGATACGGGATAGAGATATCTAGGTTACCTTACATATATATTGAGAACATTGTTTTCCAAACAATTTCCTGGGGTATCTAGAAACTTATTTTTCTCTATCTTACACTTATTTCGTCACATTATATTGTGATTAATTCACTTCGTAATATTCAAGAAGCCGCCTAATTACTCTGTGACTAGGAGCTTATGTCGTGTTTATAGTAATCGCTGCCAAACGGAATCAGTCTCCATGGATGTATTTTCCCGAACTAGGTCACCAAGACCTATCACCTTACTTTGAACTACCTTTTCCGGTTACTGTATCAGCCCAAATGTGGTTTAACCTCACCATGGGCCTGAATGAGGATCCTCATGAAGATACGATTTCAGTATGAATAAGGTATTTATTAGCTTATGTAACTGACATTTCATTGAATAAGTGCAGCGTCTGGCAGTGTGATTCATGGTGCATGTTGCTTTCTAGTTGTGACTCATTAGCTGAATATATTTGCACCCCGCCTTAGATGCCTGCTCTGTGACTTGATCCAATTACCTTTCACTTCTGACGGCTAATGTGTTACTCACCAAGCTACTGAGATCAGACAGCAATTGATTTGTCCAACGGAGATTAACTGCATTGCTTATTTGTAGGTACCCGAATCTTCCCGATATTTATATCAATGACTGAATTGTGATTAGTCTCTTATGATACTTGTGCATTGTACAGATACATCAAGCTAACGAGTCCAAAATTGAACGAAGCGCAAACCTTGAATTCCACTGCTGGCTCTTATCCATGATGATTTTATTACTTATGACTTAATGAGGATATCGAGACAATCCGCTTGAGATGCACATTTGCTAAAATAGACTAATCAAAGTTCAATCTTGAGCATTAACAACGAGAGGTTTCAAGCACTGACAAATTGCTAATTAAACAATTGTGTTTCAGAGGTGTAATTACACTCAATGACCACCTGCCAGTTGATATTAATATGTTATGTGGGGCTTTATTTCTATAATAATGATGAGAATTTCTATCATTCGAATACAAGAAGTTAGACGATATTATCACAATGTTTCATAACTATCCTTATTTTTCATGACATCTAATGAGATATATTTAGCAAAATGAGCGGCATTCGTTTTGCTACAACCTAATGGCAAATTTTATTTTACCACTCTGAAGTCCTATACACATCAATATGGAGAGATCACGATGTTCACAATAGTTGGATGTCGTAGTTACTTATATGTTTCTATGAGGACTGTCCACGGGTAAACTCGAAGAAGCGCTAAGAAGCTCAGAAAGAGACGAGGATATTCCACCCAATTATCTTTTGAAAGAATATTCCAGAACCCCTACCTGTAGCTTCCCTATTGGACAAATGCTAATAACCCATTGTGTGAGGATTGGATGACTATAATGATGATTTTGTATTTACTAAAAACTCAATAAACACGCATAAATGTTTGTTCCACTATAACAGACATCTGTTTGGAGTAAAGGCCACCCCTTCAAACTTCCAACAAATTATGGACACTGTTTGGAATAACATTCCTTTCACTTGTCTTCTGTCTTCTCAGTTGCAACTTGAGAGTGTTCTAGCGTCGATTTCTCAAGTTATACGAGACATATTGAGAATCTAAAGCTCTAGATATAACAGTTTCTCTTCATACAGAGTTGAGGTTCTACATATATATATATATATATGTTTGCATTTACTAAAAACCAATGAAGAATAAAGTTTGAATAATTTGTTATACATGTATAAACTGATAGTTAGTTATCTGCGCTAATTCTGGAGTACAGGAAATCAGTCAGGAAATGTGTATAAATCATCTTTAACTAGTTAGCATTTATTATTGTAATCCTGTTATAATAAAAATTTCTGCCTACATATGTGGTAAATATATATTAAGTAATTAATATTAAGATTAATTATATTTATGAATCATTAATTCATGAATATAAACATTCAATGTCATATATTTTTTGAAAATTGAGATATCATTAGGGATTAGCGAGACTGATAGGTCCTGGGTTCAAATCCTGCGAAGTGTAGTCGTGGATGCGCACTGCTGAGGTGTCCCACAATAGGACGAAACGGCCGTCCAGTGCTTTCAGGTTTTCCATGATGGTTTAGCTTCAATTAACTCATGATCTCAACTATTGAGATTAAATATAAGTTAGGAAACAATCGAACATTTGAGAGAATTGAACATCTGACGTTTATATGAAACTTGACATTATTGAAAATTCATAATTTTATCGCGTGGTAACGTCTCTGACTGTGAAGCTGGATGACGTGGGATAGAATCCATCAGAGAGCACCAGTTCCCTCAAGATCACAGGTACACCTTGCTGACGAGTGTCAAGTAGCACGAAACCCGGGTCAAGGGTTTCCTTTTGACTACCTCCAACCACCAACTAATCTCACCATAATGCTTGCAATGTCAAGTCACCTAGACTGGTGGCCACATTGCAACTCGATCGATAGCATCCGATCTGCACTAAGAAGGACTTGACACACATGACATTGATTACCACCAAGTGATCAATCAATTGTGATTACAAGTGATCTCTATTTAAATAAATATCTACCATATTACATGGCTAAATTTAGATTTCATTTTAGTTGACATTCTTTAGCAACGCTAACTTCCAGGCTTTAAGCAACTCATGTTTGTTCTAGAATTCAAGCTAGCTTCATCCAGTTTCACAAACTCAAATGCGAAGACTGAGCTGTTCAGACTGGTAGTTTTATAGAATAAACACTCAACAAGACTATAAACTTGATAATAATTAATTCATAAATTTTCACTGTTTCTAAATATGGATTACACTCAACTGTAGAAAATGAAACGAGAGATTTGCGAAAAATGGAGTAGAATGCATTGATTATATAAAATAGCATATTTAATCACATTTTATTTAAGCCATTAGTTTGTACTATGATGAGCAGCTTAATGAGTTACAGGTCTGATGTAGGAATGAATTTAAGATATTCCAACACTTATTCGCACAGTGGTCAATGGTCGAATTTGAATACATTGAACCAATTAGTAGTTGGTATAAATATGTCAATAATTCAACGTGTGTAAGCAATCTACAGTACCAAAAGATAACATAGTATAATTAACAGGTATAATAAAATTATTGAGATACTGTTTTGCTTCTTTCTGACAGTTAAATAGGTCGATCAACACCAGCTGTTTGATTTCATGGCGAAAAATTCCGTTCAAATTAAATTGTGACAAGAAAGTTTTCGTTATATCTCAAAATGTTCATTTCGTACACTCAATAGGATATTAGACTCGAAAAATGATATTTATTGGGCTATAAATGTGATTAAGATCATGATTCGATCGATGTTAGACCACCATTGAAGGCATCGAACCAGTGAGAGGCCGTTTCATCCTGGTATGGAACTCCTCATCAGTGAGCGTCCGCGAACGCTTGACCCTTAAACCACTGAGCCGATATCCTACGGTATTAACGTCTGACCTCAACCAATACACGAAATTCCACAACCATCTTCCCCTGTACAGAAGTAGGTACCTGTCTCTACCTGACATAGATTAGCTCCACTGGTCTCAATCAAAAACTTAATAATCTCCACAACCCCATACTGATAAATGTGATTAAATTATTCAATTTTCACTGGTGCAATGTGCAAACAGAATATTGAAATTTAGAATTAGTATGTATACTACTGAAATAAATTAAAGTAGTTTGAATGAATAATATATAATTCTCGAGCGTTTCGGTGATCACTTGTTCATTTGAAATCTAACCACCTATATATTATTTACTACATTACAGAAATGACCGTTAAATACACCATATAATACAAGAAGCCTTCATTATAGTGAGAGTGCAAAATAATTCATGATAAATAATATTTAGATTACAAATAAAATCAATTTAACTGAACTGTAATTAGTTAAACCCGAATAAACTGTAAATAAGACAAATTCACTTGGTAACTGTTTACTAGAATCTTCCCACTGATGTTTGGGAATGTAATTGATCAGTCTCTATTGACATATGTGCATCTATATTTGCTTATAATGCTTTTGAATTAAGGCAATACGCATAGGATGCACATATGCCAATAGGGACGGGTCAATTGCACTCCTAAATAACAATGGGAATATACAAGTAAAACAACACCAAGTGAATTTAAACTTTACCCAATTGTACAAGCAGGTGGCTATCAGGACTCAGTAGCTAATTGGATAACGCGACGACGCTTGAAGCGAACGATACTGGGTTTGAGTCCCAGAGTGAACATCAACTCATATGCAGGCCTATCCATCTGACGAGTCCCAAATAGGACAATGTGGCGCTCGTCCTGGATTCCACTACTAGCCAATATCTGTCTTTGCTTATAGTGCTTGTAAATAAAACAGTTAATCCAATAGAAAAAAATAGCAGTAATAAAAGGATAAGACAAAGCAATATATCATTTAATAACAATAACCCAAACAGTATGTCACATTTTGAAGCAGAAACTATAAGATAGTAATGAAAACTTCATTTACATCTATATAGAATTTATATTGTTTTCCCATAAATACGGACCAAAAGCTCACAGTTTGTATATTTAAAGTAATTTCATGTAAAATACCCTGATATATTAAAGTCTAGTTCGATGCTTGCTAATCATATAAAAATTTTTCCCTCAGTAGTAAATGAATAGCGAGGATGAAGAGGATTTGTTCCCAATTCATTATAGTAGACTTTACATCAAGAATAATCCTCCACATATTAGCATAAGAAGACATTTGTCATCATGTGGATAGACGTGTATTTTGACTTGAGGATAGTAAATTTTAGGATATTTTCTTCACAAAAGGAGATTATAAAGGCAACATGGTTACTGATGGTATGAAATCAATTACATTTTCGAAGACATAAACTAGTATATCGATACAGCGAACTTCAAAAAATCAAATTTATCTTTGATTTTACGAAGATTTTAGTGAATAAATCAATTCTTATCAATATTTACTTTACTTCTTTTGATAGCTTTTTATCTATTAAAAAGGTAGCCTAGTGAAATTGACATAGCTAGTATAACTCTGTCTTTAATATTTTTGAAAACAAATCGGTGGCTTTAATGTGAGTTCAAATTTCCGCCATTAAAACACAAATTCGAATCATGGTCCATCTACTTCGTTTTAGACAAATGGATATTGTGGCTAGCCCTCACACTTAGACTGTAACTCAAGAAAAAGTATGCAAACATTGAAACAAAATTGAACGTTAACAATTTTACTACAAATAAAAACATTGAGAAAATGGAAATATAGAAATGCTAATCACAATGCTGATGCTAAAGTTCTGGGATCACAGTAATATGTTTAAATATAATGTTAAACTGGTAAACTAAATAAAAATAAGTAAACACGTACAAAACCTTGTGTCACATCAGCCAATAGTTAAAAAAGTTGAACCAATTTAGCTAATTCATACCACATAACAGTTAAACTAGTTTATGTATATATATGTTATAGTCTTTTATTATAGTTGCCTATTTTCACTGTTTAGGTAGATTTTTAAGGGTTTTTGTTTCAGGTAATCGCATATACATTTTCTGTTCCTTTCTTTATTTTACAGATGACGAATATCCCAATTGATGGTAACATTCAAACCTATACTGGTCATGAGGAATTGGGTTCTCCAACACGTATTTTAACAAATAATGCTGTTCTAAGTTATCATCAACCAACTATAATATCACCTCTTATTTCGGATCTTCAACAACCTCACCATCAACATAGTCATTCTTTATTAAATCACATGGATCACGCCACAATGAATATAAATAATAACAGTAATACGTTTACTCCAAGTCGTCTACATTTACTTTCTAATACATCCATGGGAATTAGTCCTTGTGGTATATATAATAAACGAGATTCAAGTATACCACATGTTTTAAGTAATTCAGGTAAGCGTATGATTTGAGTTTATGTCTACCTTCTGTTTACTTGTCTTCTTACTTTGGTCGGTAATTGCTTAACCATTTTGTTTAGGACAGTGAGCTCGCTTCATTATTAAAAGTTTTCAGCAGATTCTAAATTTTGATGGTACAACAATTTCGGTTCAGTGATATTAATATTAAGCACTCGCCGCGAGACCTGAGTGTTCTATGTTCAATGCCCTATAGCAAGGTCATAAATGCGCACCGCTGAGGAGTCTCATATTATAATAAAACAGCTATCTAATATTTCCTGGTTTTCAATGGTAGCTTAATTAGTATCAGTCTGTGATGTAAATTATGAAAAATCAACAATCCTCGTAAAACTTCTGTACTGAAAATAAAATTTTATTTTAACTCACAAATATTATTGACAGTAAACTGTTAGAAAAGAATATACAAATTAATAGAATTGTTTGAATTCACTCGGTGTTGTTTTACCTGTATCTTCCGATTGTTATTTAAGACAGCAATTGATCGGTTTCTTTGTTAATATATGTGCACCCAGTGCTGATTGCCTTGATATAGCATTAAGTCACAAGCTTCTTATGCAAAAATGAATAGTGGCTAGCAGTGGAATCCAGGACGCTCGCCACTACTTCCTATTCGGGACTCGTCAGCTGGACGTACTTGCATCCCAGAGTTGATGTTCACTCCGGGACTCGATTTGTTGTGAAATTTATATTTCACTCACCAATGTGCTTAAATTGCAAAAGTATAGATACTTAAATTTTAGAAAAAATGATTCTAGTCCATTATATCTTGACATTGTAATCACAAAGATAATTTAAGCTAGAGAACTAGGTATGGGAAGAGCTTAGAGAAAATGTTTATTAAGAATTCATATGATACTTCATTGTCTCACACTTTGTCATATGTTTTTACTTGGTGATAACTTGTAATTAGACAAAACTGAGTGGTCTACTTTTTATTTTATCTATAGAAGTAAATCAATTACTAACACAATCTTCATATAGACCAGCATCACCGGATTATCAAAGTTTAGATGCAATTTGGTGTCATCAAAATAAATTTCCTTCTGGTACAATGAATCTCATCCATCGTCTTCCTAATACTAATGCTAATAATGGTAACAATAATAATAACAATAATTCACAATTTAATCCTACTGTCAATACTTCTACCAACATTAATCATCAAACAAATCGTATACAAGGAAATAATCGAAAACTATTACCAACTCATTATTCATTAGGTAATCCTGACAATAATGTCAATTCACAATTGAACAATGCACAACCAATGATGATGTCAAATGATTTTACAGAATCATCAATAATAACAACACCTCATGGTTCAAACATTAATACATTTTCACCGCATGCCTATTATGAAATAGCTACACCATCAGAAACATGGCATAGGAGATGTTTACCACTATTTATTCCTAATGGGGATCAACATAGAATAATTGATAGTAATAATAACAATGAGACACACGTTAATTTACATGCACAAACTTTATCACATTCAACTAATAATCATCATTTTAACACACAACATTCCAGTAACAATAGTAGTCGACAGCAAACTCAACAAAGATTAACCGAACTCAATAGTCGTTCATATAATCATATAGCTACTTTAGGTAGACCAGCTAATGGTAAAGGACGTAGACGATTGGGTGGTACATCGACAACAGCTAATAATCATAATGACGATAGTATGTATAATTTACAAGCCGGTGAATTAGCTATACATTCAGTTAAACGTTCAATACAAAATCACAATAGACAAAATGAACAATATAGAATTAAATCAGACGATAAGTTATTAGAATCACAAAATATAAACTTGACTAATGATAATCATGACAATCTTAATAAAATAGTGAATAGTAATGTTTATCACGATAGTGATAATATTAATGTCAGTACTATCACTAATAATACAACTAATAATAATAGTGGTAATATTGATGAACAAGATAATAAAAAGTCAAAAGATGGTCAGTTATCCGAACAGAAAGCAAATGTACAACATTTTACATACCAAGCATTTCGTGAAGGAACATTCGTTTAATAATAATAATTATTATTATTATATATACATATGCATCTTTATGTTAAATATTTGGCTGAATTCACAAACCATTTACATATTCACATTATATAAACAATTGAGGATATAAGTTTTGCACATGTATGTACATATTCTTTACATCTTTATTACACTTGATATAAACAACTAGAAATCATCATTGAGCAATATCATTATTATCTTATTGAAAATTATCTAGATATGGGATTAAAATGGATAAATTCAGTAGAATTTATTACATAACAACATTACAATCATTTCTATTTGCTTTATTTCAATTGTATTTGTACTTATTTATTAATTTGAGCAGTTTCTTTCCACCCCTCCCCCCTCATGTATTCATTTCTATGACTTTAAAAATAAACGAAATAGTATTATTTAGCTTGTGTTCAAATGTACGGGCAGAGTGAATTTCATTTGTTTATCTCTTGACTAATTTTTAATCAAAATCTGTTTTCGATTTCTTTCTTTTGTCAAAATAAAATTTAAAAAAAAAAAAGAATCCATTTCGGTATATTGAATTTTGTTTTGATTATATTGGATGATTACAGTAGGATGTCTAGCTGAAATGTTTACCGACCCATTCTATCAACCATCTAATTATAAATCAAGCAGTGATAGATACCAAGTCATTTATAGTCATGGTAACATAACAATCTTAAAAATAGAGTTCGAACGATGTTAATGATTAGGCAAACATTAATTTGGTTATCGTACAATAATTATTTTATATATGAATACGAGATCCACTTTACTATGATGGGGTTAATTTTGAACATAATCAATAAATGTAGTTCATACTTTTGAAGATACGTTTGATGAACCGTTGACTAAACTAGTTGTTATGTGATCTGTATAACTGAGTGAATGGATAAGTTGATAACGAATTATCTGAATTGAACATCTCAATCGGTGTAATTCATATCCAACGGAGTTTGATAAACAAGAAGATAATAGGCAACATGAGGCACCACGGTGACAATCTTTAACAAATATCCGACTTCAAAAGCATTTGTACACAGTTTGAAATTATTTTGTGTACGACTTTATATTACTCTTTAATATTCGGTAACTCATGTTATTATTAACCATTTTGCTAATAGTCTGTTTATTGTAACACATGATTTGTATGTTAACAAGTAATCTTGGCATTTATTCAATTTTGTTAATGTAATCTTACAACTTTATTGCCCTCAATACTCTATCTTTATTCCATTTATGTGCAAAAAGGTTCGTTTATTAATGAAGGTTCGCATATTTAGTATAACGCAGTCATCATTTCAGTTTGCTCTTGCCAACATTAATTTTGATATAGCAATGTGAAATTATTCAATTCAACTACACACTTTCTCTTTTATCATTCCTTGAAGCATTAGATACCTCATTAATTAAGGTGTGTACAGCATATTGTCTATGTTTCAATTATTTATAATACCATTTCTGTTGATACATTTCTTGTTATAATTTGGGAAAAAATGCGTAACTCAGTCGTTTGGTCGTAATCATTGAACAGCTTCCATATGGTGAAAGATTAAATTTGGAGTGATGAGACTAATTTCCGTCATCAGTTTTAACATTACAAGATTTTAACCACCGTAAAGGTTTTAAGTTGCTTCGATTGCCAGTTCTAGGATACGTTCTAATCTGTATAAATGCTATTTTCACAACTGGTAACCCATGTACCTAAATGTCTAGACACTGACATTCCAATTTATTCGTCCCAAAACAGTATACGGAATGCGGAAAATGTACATGAAACTTTACTTTGAAGGTTATACTATGCAAATCAATATCAGGATATTTGTGAAGCTAAACGTAATCTAAAGATGTGAAGAGCTTCTGAAAAGCAGGATTGAATTTATAATAAATTCGGTAATTAACAAATCACAATTATGCACATCTACAACACTAAAACCAGACTTATCGATCCCGCTGCTGAGTAGTATCATAGTAGAAAAAAATGGCCATCCAGTACGTGCAAGTTTTAAATGATTGTCTAATTTCGATCAGTTTGGAATTTTAATGAAACTCAACAACACCCACAACCCCTTACTGATAATAGTTATTTGTCTTAGAACAATTCATTATTCATGAGTAAATATTTCATAGAAACCATGATAGTCTTCTGACTTTATTCAACCTCAGATTTGTTGTTTTAGTAAATTTAGCAATGTCACATTCATTCAGTATATCATGTAGCATTCAGTTTGTTGTCGATTTGTATGAAATTTATTTTTGTCTTTTCTCATTTGGAATTATCAAATTTATTGATTTATCATCAAACACCTGAAAGTTCTCTGTAAAAATGAAGATATATCGTAGGTAATATGTGGCTATGTGAATAAAATCGCCACTTTCCATCAGTCTTTCTCTTCTATTAACTTGAGTTTTGAGAATTTCTATTTCTTGATATTAGTTCTTCACGGTTGTGTCACATATTATTAAAATGTACTTTGTATTAATTTTATTAATTCGATGAGCCAAATGTACATGAAATCACAATTTTCCTGATTGATATCTATCAACGAATTTTTCATCATGCTTTGTTCGATTTACTCTCTTTTCATACATAATTAGATAACAGTTCTTTTCTCCATAGAGAATCCCTTCACTATGAGGATAGACATGAAATTCTATTGGAAAACTGTGAATTAGGAAGTCAGGCCTTGAAGTTGAGTAACACTCAGTGATCGTTAAACACATATCTGTATTCATAGGTTTGATTAACCACATACAGATCCTAGCTGGGGTAACACAGGATTCTTACTTAACGGTTTCAACGGTTAAAGGTTTAGTACAAAGTCTGAAGCCTCGGAGTTCATTTTATGGTAGTGTCACGAGTGTGCATTGCTGAGGAGTCCCATACTAGGATGATACAGTTGTCTGGTGCTTTGTGGTTTCCAATAGTACTTCAAACAAGGTACTGCCTATATTTGTACCCCTATAATAATCCGAAGTGGAATTAATGTTATGATATCCTACAAATATGACATACTAATGAATATGTTTGATGCGACAGACCTTAACTGAAATGGACAAGGATGTATGATAACTTTTCAGCGCCCAATGACAGAATTCTATGTAATTATTACATATTTATCTACATATGATCCACTGATGACGATAAATATTTAACGTGTCTAATGATCAAAAGTATCATAGTATTTCTGAGCTTATTTCATCGAATAGTCAAATGTCATCTGTTTATGGATAAGCCATAATACTAATTATTTTTATACAACGGGATAACTGCATACTTCAAAATCGTAAATTTTTAACTTTAATACAAATTGTTCAATTAAGAGTAATTATTGTTTAAACGACGTCTCAGATGTAATGATTGTTTATGAAATTATCTATCGCCCATAAGATAATGATAGTAATATTAACGTCGAATAACTTAATTATTTATCAATGAAGATATTAAGATAATTAGTATACATCAAGTAGTTCGTACTGTTAAATGGTTAGTACAACTGACAGACCTAAATTAACTGATTACGATATATACTTCGCAGAAATCATGTGAAACTGATATTATATAACTGCAATGATGCCTTGTAACAATTCTACTGATGTTTTTTATGATAAAGTGGATTCGTGGCTTGTAGTTTAACCCATGACGCCCATTTCGTCTTCTTCGGGACTCACCATCTGTACGTACCTGTATACCAGAACTTGAACCTAGTGCTTTTAGATCCAAACTCCTAACACTTTATCCACTTAGTCGTTTCGTTTGGATGGTCACTAGTTTGTACAAAAGTAATATCGAGACAATCCGCTTAAGATATACATGTTTGATGAGGTCGATTGACTGCAGATCATAATATCAGTAACGGGAAGATTCAAACCTTTACAAAGGATGTAATTTTGTTATTTTTGCCACCATAACATTTTTTTAGGTCAAGTCAATCAGTTTGCTCCACAAACACCATTTGGATACTTTCCTATCTATGTCAAAATATCAAGCTGTTAAATTAGTCGGACGTCTGATGTATGTGAAGGGAGAGTTTTGCGGGTAGGAATAATAAAGATTACTCAGTCATCAATAGCATATACATGGTCAAGAATAAGTGTATAAGGAATATATTTATAATTTAGGCAAATTTCGAGTAACTGGATATAACATTAAAAGTTTGCAGTCCCTTACAAGAACGACTAACAACACCAAACACTGCCATTTTTAAAACGTTCAGAAGAACGAGTTGGACGATATTTTCAATCGTATCACTCTACTTACGATAGTCTCGATCAACCGATACAAAGTAATAACTACTCAACAAACGAAATTGAGTTCGACCTAATATCTAAGGCTGTCATTAGTATTAATACAAGAGCAACATTAGGGCTCCTCCAGGGCGGAAGGTGACCAGGCCCCTTTTTCTCTCGTAGTGATTTATGGACAAACCAATAAAATTAAAGACAACACGTCTCGGATTTTGGTGCGAAGTTTGTTTACCCATATGGCTATATAGCATCTTAGCATCATAGTTGATCTCAGTTCTTGATGTAAACCTTTACTCCAATTCCTAACCCCAACTTCTAACTTCAAATCCTTATCCCAAATTACCCGTACTAATTTAAAACCCTATATTAAACCTATTAAGTAGGTGAGTTGTCGCAAGACCACTTAGTGTCGCTCAAAAGTCATCCATATAATATAGTCTCACCGACCAAGTCATTGGGGTTATAACTAGATTCCTAGGTTTAGAGGAATACTTTCTACTTTCTGTTAAGCAACTAAAGTCACATTCCTCATAGATTTAATTACTGGATGTCATGCGATGTATTCAAAGTGTACAAGGTCTTTGTACAAACTGTTGGTTGTAAACAACTATTTTCTATTCAGTTTAATCTTTGAATCCTGTTATTTTCAGCGAAAATCTAAATAACTCTATTGCTGTAATCGGCTAAAAGCATGTATATGTTCACAATCAACTCACTGAAACACCCTATTCAGCGGAAAAATTCACAAAACTGACAGTTGGCTGAATTTAATCCAATCTATTCAACTTATAACCATTCTAAATCATACATAAATGTATGACTCAGTTAATGCACACATTTCAGGTAAAGACCAATAGATTAAAAATAACGCAAATCAGACCAAATTAACCGGATTTCTTTGTTCTAAATTGTCAAATATCTTGTATATCAACAGTTATATTTTTTGAATGTCCATTAATTAGAGTAAATGCTTCAAAAATCATACCTCAATATTGATTCTTTGTTAAAAATGGACTTATTTTGAGAGAAGAGTCAGGATACTTAGAGTAACGATTAAAATTACATAAATATAAATAATTGTAAATTATTCTTACTTATTCCTTAAGATGTTCTGAAAATTTTATCAGGATCTGTACACATAACAAAACCATGCTATCTTACTTCATGTTGATCTAAATGATCTTTTAGAGCAGGCGATATGCTGCAGACAGGTCAGACAAACGAAGTAATTCATATATATAATACCACAATCAAAATAAAAAAAAAACAAAAGACATCAAGCAGACTTGATAAATATCAATGTTGCATATCCGATTCAGAAGATTGCTCTAACACAGCCAGCTGAGATCAAGTAATGCCTTTCAGTTATGGGAGGAATAAGATTTTTTGGAACAACTTTAAGCAAGAAACCATCATAGGACTATCGATGGAGACACACACCACCTTCAGGTTAAGTACTAAAACCCGAGTTGATAGACAAATTTGTCTAAGAAGCTGAAGTAAAACAAAACGTTGGTCAATACAGTGATGATTAATCTCAAACATTCCTATTCTTCTCAAGTTCCTAACTTACATACGCTAAGATTTTGAAAAACGTTGGTCAACAAGTGATTTGAGATATATAAAAGTCTATTTCAACACTTGTAAATCGAATTATGGACTTCAGTAGACATATCTAGTGAAAGTAGCAAAATTAGTGTAAATACAGGTCAACGAGTTACATACGAACAATAATCCATATATGGATGATAGGCTGGTCATGTTTAGGTATACAACGCGATATCTTGAAAACCAGACAGCCACATATCGTCCCAATGTCAGATGGAGATGAGAATTTCGTACAAGACATGGTATTGGAAGAAGTATATTATACCTTGGTCAATGACCTAGCCTACAAGTCCTGTCTAAATCAGAAGGACAAATGTAAATATACTTATACTTTGAGTCCATTATAATTCGATTTAGTAATCATAGTTTCTAACTTACTTCAGTTTCTTCATTTATCTGGTGAGTTTGATCTACCATAGGTACTTTATATTATAACTGGATCGGATAGCGGAACACAACAGATTATCAATATGAATACAAAAACTGATTACTAATTCAGCAAAATTTCTGTTCCACCGACAATTTTCCTTCCAATAAAATTTTCATAGAACATTGAGGAATGGAAATAATAAGTTTTAATTCGAATAAAACAGCTTATGAAACAGAATTTAATAGGATAGTAGAACACGAATGAATATAAATTTCAAAAGTATCAAAAGCATACATACATACGCAATAAAGAGTAGAAAAAACGAAAAAAATTATTACCTATTTACATCATTTGAAAGAAAAATACAAAGTAAAACAGTAACCCAGAAAAGGACAATTCAATTTGTTGAAGTATCAATATTGACATGTTCAAATGTAATACCAGTAGAAAAAAAAAGTTGAGATCCTAATATGTTGAATAATCGGTATTGATTCCTAGATGATGTCAGAAAACGTACATTTTATTATTTATTATTATCTCTACCAGAGATTCCGTTTACAGTAAATACTTTGCAAAGTTTTATGTTTGCCTCCCTTTAGTTAATTGCTGTGTAGAAAAAACTGATATCAAGCGGAAAAATCATGACAATACAAATTCCATTGACTTTGGAATATCAGCATAACGAGTACACAATAATGATAATAATAATAGTACTACTATTATTATTAGTAGTAGTCGTAATATATAAAAACATTTTATCGCAGATAAAAATGCATAAAACTAGAAATATTAAATGAGAAGATAAGTAACTAGAAATTAATTGACTTTAGAATAAAATGATATGTGATAAAAAAAAACACAAAAATGCAATACAAATAATTATTCAAGCAATATATGCTTAAAAAGCAAACAAATATAGACCCACTTATAATATGAAAATGATCAAAATTGAAATTTATGCTAATATGAACTTGGAAAATAAATAAATAAAAAAGAAGAAGAAAACAATTGAATTATGGGAATGCATTGTTATAAATGCAATCAATACAGAATACTACTGCTACTACTATGATTATCATTATCAGTAGTATGTAGAGAAAATGACAAAATTGTACAATATAGACAATGAGAACAGATATTATTGTGAACAATGAAATCAGAGAGAAAAAAAAAGGAATCCTTGTTTTCCTATACACGTTGACCGGGTATATGACCATGAAATGGTAAAGGAGATGATTTCCCATTATTACGCAAATAATACAACCAATAAATACTAAAATTAAACCTAATGCTGAACCAACAGCTATGCCGACAACTTCACCACTTGTTAAGCGCATTGGTCTTTCACCACCTAGAATGAAATTGGAGAAAAAGAAAGTTAGGATAAGGTTAAAGGTTTGCGATCTTTCTACAAATTGGGATAAAAGCGAGAAGCAAAATAGCGTATTTAAACAGGTAATAAATTGTATCAGCTCTATCTCGGTCATAGAAGAACCACGACTAATTCATTTTTATTGGTTGTTTAAATCTTCCCATTGATATTTTGGACTGTGATTGATCAGTTTCGTTTATTATATGTGGATCCTATGATGATTGCCTCGATATTGCCACTAAGTCACAAAGATTCTTTAATCTGTCTAGTTAATGTTTTGCATATTCACTATTTACGAACGTAACCGACTAACAGTGAAAAAAAGTGTCATGCAAACATGCTGTATGAAACGTGAAACAGTAAGAATGCAAGAAAGCAAACACAAAATAAACAATTTATAACTAACAAACATATTATGAAAAGTAGAATCTCACCAAACTAATTATCACATCATCAACACAAACAAAGCATCCCACTTAGCATTTGTGAAACATGCAAACATAAAGAGAAGATGAGTCTTTTTCAAATGAAGTCATATATCAGTTAGTCTAGAATAAGCTGGAGAGCAATTTACAACAAACGTACGTCGCCGTACACGTTCTTGCTTGATTTCATTTGTAGTTATTTGATGTTTTTGCGGTTGTTTTAAATTTTCTAATTCATTTTTATCTAAATAAATTTTGATAGAGAAATACAACGAAATAGGATGCATGTTATGTATATACGCCAGTGGATTATGAACTGGAACACTCAATCTTAGAGATCCATAGAAGAGAGGAAAGGGACAATATGGAAAAATCAAAGTAACTAGTTAAAATAGAAAATTATTACATTTAGAATATTTACAACTTTTAGTAGTGAATTGCAGATGGTTTAAGACAGTGGTCACTAATGAAGAATTATTGAGACAATTTATTATTGGAAATGTCAGAATGAATATTGTGTGATAAGAAAGTTTATATTTTGCATCAAAATTATATTCGCCAGTTGTGAATGAATAGTAATTTACTACAATGTAGTGGTATTAAGGTTTGACATAATTCGGATATATGGATAGTATTAAGGGACATCTCATCAATAACTAATAGTGGTAATATCAGTCATTGAATTCATTCAGTGGTTGAGGAGATTAGTAAATTAAAAGGAGAAATGGTGAGAGACAGTCATATCAGTCGATGGAGCTATTGGATTGTTAGTCATACTAATGCTGTCATTATATGCTTCCTGAGATTATTATATTTTATATTTGGAAGCTATAGATGGTAATGCTTAAAATTCACGAAACAGTGCTGTAATTGTATTCACTTTCAATTTTGCCTTAAATCTCTCGCTTCCAAAATAATTCGAGTTTTTCTCTGTCAAATTTTATCTGTCTGTTCTGAACTAAATTTCCTTCATTTTACATTACTCATACTACTGATATTAAATTAGTTCTACCTGTTAATTTCCTATTTCTAGATCATATAAAATGTAGCAAGTTAACCTGAATAAACATTTGTGTCAGGTTTTAAGTTTTTTTAACTAACTGATCCAGATACGGTATAATTAAATTTCGATTGAAAGATAAGGTACACGAATAATATAAAACAACATAACATCTGTAAGAAGTGCTGAAACACCATTTTCAAGTCTACAATCCTATTTGATTAATGGATTTTATCAGACATAATCAACATAGAGCCTGAAAATAAATAATGTGTTGATCCAAGTTATTATGTCATATTAATAATACGAAAAAAAAATCAACAAGACCAATATAACAAAAGGAGTCCAAATGATTACAATAACAATGATAAGGGAGAAAGATTGAAAACTGTAGTAGAATGTTATGCTTAGAGGATTACTAAGACTCAAGATCTAGAGGAAGATAAAGAGTGAACGACTTTACGCTACACTAACCGTTTCTGAGCCACATTACATAGTCTATACGTAAAAGAAAAAAATCCTTTTATGATTATAATGTACGAACACTCAGGTAGGAACAACGTGTTTACTGTTTGATAAAAAATTACAGAAAATCTTCGTAAAATATGAAGATCATACATTAAGTACTTTATTTGCAAATCTCTCAATAATTTTTCTTCATATTCTGTATGATTCTTCCAATTCACGATTCCTCTCTATTTCCCTTTTCTGTTTTCTCCAACTAGATCCTCTTGACCTTCTGCTGCCAGGTTTCTCACTTCCGACCTGTGTTACATACTGAGAAATCAGTATGACTAATATACATTCAGTTTGCTATTTATAACTTTGTTTACGTTTACAGTAGCTTATTTACGAAGTACAAATTTGTGCATATGCAGCTTTGAGCCATACTTTAGATGTAATAAAGTGATGTGATCCAATTGTCGAAACTGAATTAAGTATGACAGAGTTTGGAGCTACTAATTACCGTCTGAAAACAGACGGGCCTAAAGTGTTTGAGAAAAATGCGAGCACAACTTGAGATTAACAGAAGGAAACGCTTTGTATAGAGTGTTCACAACATTAATTCTTGTCATCTTAGAGTAGAAATGACAGCATTAAACGTATAAAATCCTTAATACTTTCTGTAGATTATGTATAACAGACAAATCGGCATGACCCATAAAGTCCTTACTCTAAGTTCTTAAAAAAACGTAACTCAATGTAGTATTACATTTTATGGATAAAATAAAGATACAGCCCCTTAGATTTTTTTCGTGAAATTCATTCATGACCATAAAGCATTTTAACATAGTAACTGTTAACAGTTTGTAATGAAAACTCTAACCAAAAACAATACAGAGAATCTCAAAAATCTATATGAGTCTTGATAAAGATTCAACAAAACGGGTAATATCCATCTAATTATATACGTATACGCATTTATACTTGTGCATGCAAGTATTTTATATATATATATATATATATATATATATATATATATATATATATATATATATATATATATATATATCACTGTTTCTTTATTTACAGTCACTAGCAGGAGACTTTAATAGATGTATAAAATATGTAAAATCTATTTACACATTGTAATTATTATTTTCTTTACTTTTCCATAAACTATACATTTATAAAAGCCGTTTTATGCTTGGCCCGGAACTAGATGAAATCCGTTCAGGTTATTTTAAGCTCACACTTCCTACCAGATAATTATGATGTATTATGTCTGTATGAGGGTAATACATATAAAAGAGTGACACGTGAACGAAAAAGACGCTTTCCAATTAGATCCTTATCAAGTTTTATTCTTATAAACATAAATATTTATATGGGTATTAGAAAATATCAAATCAATCAAAACAATTTATAAGTCAGTAATTACAATGAAATGGATTATGCAACTATACATAATGAGTAGAAAGTACACATTGAGAGTAAGAAGACAGGTGTAATGATAAGAATTTTATATGTATATATTATTATTTGACTAGTTACACACTTCTTGTGACGTAACATTATTAATGTTTTGTGATGATTATTTTAAAGTCTTTATCCAACGTTGACCTACTTCCTATGTTTAACTATTGACTGGACTTTTTGTTATTTTTTTTATCAATTTTAGTAGTACATGTCTTTTTTTACATCAATTTGTACTTTTTACTTATAATGTGTAATCTATTTCATTGACTCATAAATTACCTTGATATATATGTATATTACATTGATATTTCTACAACAAGAGAGATTTATACTACGTGAATTACACGAATAATTAACATTATTATCTTTCTTCTATATCCCTCTCTATTGTTGCCATTTCTTTCCATGTTTACATTGTTCAATCAATAAATTATGAATGGGATATTATTATTTTAATATTATTGATTTCAATTTAATTAATTAATAACTAATTCTACTAATGTTAATGTTGTTTTTCAAAAGGGAATAATCAAATTAACACTGATCAAATCTATATGAATGAATCTATATTAACATTGGTCATTATTGATATTCATTTTTAACAAATAGAGAAATTGTAGAAATTTTGAATAATTAAACTGAATTAATTTTAGTAGCAAAAGTGGAAAACTTGATTTCTCAGTGTTATTATTATTATTATTATTATCTATGTCATTAGAACATAGAAATGATGTGAATATTGGCGCCAAGTTAAATTGATTAGTCTATTGAAAGTTATATATATATATATATATATATATATATATATATATAGTGACATTTTAAACAAACATCACCCTAATGAATAGAGTATTATACATTTATGTATAACAATTCACAAATGAAAAGATTGAAAACAAGACATCATTTTACTGAACAACATTTATTCAATTTAAAACAAAATGCATATAAAGAAATTGTTCCAATGTTCATTAAATTGCAAATGTATACTACTACTACTACTAATAATAATAATAATATATTAGTAGTAGTAGTTGTAGTAACGGTACAACTAATATTAATTTAATTATTGTGACCTATTATCCAATATTAGGAATTTTTCATAAAAAAAAACTTACTAATGGATGAGAATCAAGAAATGAGAATAGCGAATAAATTCATTAAAATAGTATTTCTAATTTTGTCCAAGATCCTAGTTTTACAAAAGATTATTTTCTCACTTAAAGTTTTAAACCATACATAAAAATATGATTCACATGATTTAGGAATAAACAATAAACTTGAAGAATATACTATGTTCTTAAATTGACTCTATTCACAAGTGAATAAATAGATAGTATGCCATTTTTATAATTCTTTAATAGTTTTATAATTTATGGCAAATGAATATGCTAGTATTGAACATCAAGACTTCAAAATGCCCTAATACGGTCAATTACGGAGAAGATACCTTCAACCTCTCGATATGTTCAGGTGACTATAGCCTCTGGTGGAGAAATATTTTTATGAGTGACATGGCAATAGGTGAATGTTAGGAATTGGAGTTGGGTTGGACCACCTACGATGGTTAGAAAACTCTGATTCCAAACCAATGTGTTCTATACAGGCACTGGGATCTTAAAGAAACGAATGGCATATGGACCTATCTTAGTCACTGGGTAACATAGGATTAGATCATCTGACGTTGTTCCGCTGCCTAATGAATCAAACCACTGGGTTAAAAACTTCAGGGAGTATCCAAACCCGCACACAAATATGTGAATCGATAATCATGAAGAAAGTAAACCGTTTGCTCCTCTTTGTTACCAACTCAAACTACACTGAGGACAACCCTATTACAAATGAAATGATTTTACTCTGCTTAAATATCTTATGGGGTTTTATTTCCAACTCCGGTATACTTTTATTCTCAAAAATAGCTCAAAAGGTCGTATTTGTTGGAACTTTTGTTTTGCTTACTCGGTTTCAGGTCGCTGAATGCTGTTGCTCAACATATAACCTGATACAGATTTTGTCAAATCAAGTATGCCATTTAGACTAATACACCTTAAGTGAGAGTTCTTTTTGTGTTGTTGTCTTTCTCACTGATCTGTATTTCTCCAAGTACATGCTATTCTTGCTCATTTTCCTTTTTATTGTACTCCACTCTACCTGCTTTATTCCTTCTCCGATATCATCTTTTGTTTGTGTTACGCATACTTTTATTTGTTGCCCTCAGTAGTACTTGTTTGTGTATAATAAGTGAACTAGAAGCACCTGTTCAGTGAGGGTCAAATACAAAATTATCTAGAAAAGCGTTTGATATGAATGTAAGATGAGCTTAGCTGTAAAATGTATACACTAAAATCCCCACTACAAATTTGTGTTTTCAAAGGACAGACAGAAAAATTAGGCATTAATTTAAAGGTTTATTATCATAGGTAAACATTATATGATTATTCGTTAAGAAAATTTTTCATATTTCCCCAAAACTTATATACCATTGAGTGATTCAATACTCTGTGTGCCTATTTGGCTCTGGTTCCCCTGTTAATATCAGCTTTTAATGAAAGTGTCCTATGGAACCTAAGTTTCACAGAAGCTGATTATATAACATATTCAGTTGTAAGGAATCTACTTTTTAAATAAAAAGACATATGTACATATCTGAAAATGAATGAATAGGGGGAATTTCTTCGCTTAGTTTATTTAAAACATTTATAGGTAAGAAAAAGCTCTATAAAAAGATACCTACCAGCACATAATATATAAACATTTCGTGTCAATAAAGTATCTTTATATTGTGGTCCATTCACTGAACATTGAACTTGATTTAAACCAATAATATCTAATTGTGAGCAATGAACATGTAAAGTTGACTTAGTAGTTGTCATATCGATTGTATTTGGTGAATTACTACAAACATTTTCATGAATTTTATTTGGATTCGTGGGCATAATTGCTTTAGTCATTGTCTGAAAATACAAACAAAATCATTCTATATTAGATGATATACAAAAAGAAATATTATTTTTGATAATAGGAACATGTTTCATAATAAAATGAAATAGACAAACAAATCAGTAACGATTGAGTGATATTTTAGAGTGTAGTATATTGTATATACATAGATTTATGATGTAACTCATTTATCAAGTATAGATTTGTCTGCTTGGATTTAAGCCATATTTAATGTTTGAAGAGTAGTGACACTATGGAGCTTTCCAAATTGAAGTAGGTGAAGAATGATTTGAACCTGCAACCTAATGGTTGAAAGTCGAACACCCTTACTGCTAAGCTATCGGGAACGGTGTGAATTTACAACACAGTTTATAACTTCAAAGATCTTACCAATTCAATTGTGTTAATGAATTTTGACAAGATAATTCAGATAGTAGGAAGTGAACAAGAAGTGGTCATATATAAGATTTTTCAAGAATTATTCAGCCACTATCAAGACACAAAAGAGAATTATACGTCGTTATTTATTATTTATACGTACATGTGCTTGAGCTGTCACTTGGTAATCATTTTAGATGAAAGGTTTTTGGAGATTGATTTGGCTTATAGGTTGTATACATCACAGATTGATCTCGATTGGGGTATTATTAGAAACGAGGAAGCACTGGAGAGTGGTACCAATGTAAGACATGAAGTTCCCAGGTTCGATCCTTGATGAAGTTATGGGTAAGCACTACAAGGAAGTCCTCAACTGAGGTCAGTCTGTGACGGATACAACCCAGCAATTAAACCAGTGTCCACAAAACGTTTCCAGTTGAAGTATATATCCAATTTACTAGCTCACATGCATCTATCCAATCTTAAATGAAACGAAACATTTTCTGTACGAGTCAAATAACACTTCTGTAACTTATTTGTAGCTATATCAGTTGTTCAGCCAATCGGTTGTTCATTTAAAGAGAAGAATTTAAGCAACCATGATAACAAATAAACGAAAATAACAGAATTATGTACGGTCGTGGGTCTGTGATTAAAACCATGGTAGTTTAAGGAAAGGGATACTACTAATTAATAGCTGAGATAATTTATACTAAGAATCATAAAACAACTAGATTCATTTAATTACTTGGAAGTCAATACAGTTTTCTAGTCATTTACTGTAATGATAAGAACACGCTGAAAGAAATCTGAGGCTTGCCCAAACCAGTGTTACATCAGTCCTCGAAATCAGTGGCTATTGGTCAAAGCTACATTAGTAAGCCCATGATTGAACTCAATGTGATTAGTTACAGAGATTAGGTGAAGTGATTCAAAATAGGTTACAGTGACACAGATTCATTCAGCTTTTGTGCACCCCAGACCTTGAAGTATCATTTCTTCTCCTCGAAGCACTTTCTCTATCCGATATATTTAACTATCGTTAATACTTATAATACTTCTAATACTCCGATACTCACCCTGCTTGTTTTATCCCGCTGTGTTGATGTGATGTGGGATCTTAGGTTGGTTGGTATTTGCACCAGTTTCTTACGTTGTTTATGACCAAATAACCGACTGACATTAAGAACTGGTATCATTAAAAGTTATGATATTGTAATTGTAGAGGGTTTAAGTGAACTTTGTGATTAACGTAGGCCTGTTGTTTTTGAAGGGGGTTCATTAAAACTGTTCCGTTGTGGGTTAAAATCTGCTATATAAAGGCTGGTTAGTATCTATCATATCTTATGTAAACGAATTCGGGATAGCCACGTTCATTAGATACCTTCTCAAAGTGCTTTTAGTGACAGATAGGTTATCAAACATGAAAACGAAGCAAGAGATCCACTAATTACGTGGTTTGTAGGCCCATTTGAAAAATTATATCTAAAAAAAGTAAGCTTTAAAACCAATGGCTACTTGTAAATTAATTTGGGTTTTAAGAATTTACCTTTATTCCATTTACGATCTTACATAAAACATTTAAAATATACGAAAAATGACTTAAGTTTTTGGTGGTATTTCGAGATATCTGGAGAGACTGATTTTATCTTGGAAAAATGCTACTGAAATATATGTTAACACTTAATAATCAGAGCCGTTAAATAAAAGCAATCAACAATATAGTCCTTGCTTAGGATTATATAGACAACAGGTTGAACCACACTGAAATAAGAAACTAAACCGAATTCCTCACATGGACCTACAAGGGGCGACGATTCAAATAATTATAGTCAATAACTGGAGATGTTAGGTGACATGGCCTAAAATCGATCACAGTGGCACAATCGCACTAATTGTTTCTCATCAACAAATCATTGCTCGTTTATTTTGCCATTGACTGAATAATCACTACCACTTGAAATACTTATGGTGTTTTATCACTTATTGTTTTCAAGCATACAGACCAAACATTCATATAAATAATAAGAATTACCTCATTCATGACTAGCCAAGTTATATTGGCTCGAGGATGTCCACAAGTTGTTTCACAAGTAAGCTGAATTCCTAGTCCTGAACGTAAATCATACGGATTAGTTCGAGTGCCTAAGCCGATATGTTGACTAGGTGGTGTGCCAATGATAGATAAAGCTGAATCCAATCCAGCCGTAGCCAAAGACGATGGAGATGATAATTCTGAAGGTGAACTGGAGTCTTTGATCATACTTTCTTTGTTTGCCACAGGCAATGATGTTAAACTTGAAACACGCATCTTTTCCAATTTAGCTGGTGCTAAGAAAATTTTTAAAAATATTAACTAACAAAGTCCCAAGGTATTTACACTGCGAAAACTTTCATAGTTAAAAATTCCATCTGAATTCGCAGTTGTAACGTATAAGAACAAAAATATAAATATCAATATATTGATAAATACATCATAATTTACAATTGATTGATCACTGGGTAGTGATCAATTTCAGGTGTGTCAACTCCTCCTTAGTGCAAATCGAATTATATCGATTAAGTTGCAATGTGGCCACTAGACTAGGTGACTGGACATCACGTGCACTGTGTTGAGATGAGATGATGACTGGGGATAGTTGACAAGAAATTTGTAGTTTACATTACGGATTGACCTTAGTTAGACAAGTATTGGAAAGTAGAAAGCACAGGAAAGTCGTTTCGCCTTGCTATAAGACTCAAAAGCAGTGTGCATCTATGACCTTACAATGTTAGGAGTGAAGCTGATATGCACCAATAACATTAGATGATGGTTGCTATCTAATATTTCCTGGTTTTTAATGGTTATCTAACTGCGATGTGTTTGTAATGTAAATTATAACATTAAACTATTTCCGTAAACAGTCTATACCAATAAACCCACCATATCTCTTAACTTCTGTAACAAGCATAAAAAATCAAATGAATTCCTAGCTAAATGAACCTCAAATTCGCCTTCTGTGCGACAAGAATATATAATCTTTTTGTAACTTTTAGCCGGTGAACAAATAAGAACAGGATGAAACGCGCATCTTGGGTTACAATGCTATCTACCATCCATCTCTGTTCATAAAGAATAGCATGGTTTTAAGTAGATCTGTGAAGGATTTTGTCGACTTGAACTTAATTTTCATTAATTTTAAAGCGACAGTCAGAACAAGCATCCATAAAAGTTAAGAGTGGCATTTTCGTTTCATGGCATTCGAATATCCACACCACTGGTTTTGTCCAGCTAAATAGAATTTCATCATTGTCACTCTTAAGCCGTAGTTTTACGACCCCAACAGCTTTCAACAAGTAAGGGAGAGTTATTAGTGGACTATTGTTTGTTTGAGATAGCTAGGGAGATATACAGATACATGATCTTGAGTTATCGCCACTGATAGACACCTGAGGTATATTTTAAACTAATCAGGAAGTCTGAGTTATTGTTGGTTCTAGTATCAGGTTTCCAAATTAGCTATTCAACAAAATACGTGCAATACTGATAACAGAAATGAAATTGTCACAAATTTATACATAAATTTAAAACGATTGTATGTAAAAATGTTCTAAAAACCAAGTCGCTGTAGCTTACTGCTTTAGGTACTCTCAACTTTTGGTCAGTAGATAACCCGACTATATCTGGTACTTTGATATATCAGTTAGGCTTGAAAAACGTGTTGGCTCAACTGAGCAATGTTGGCTAGAACACTTGTTCGTTGTCATCACATAGCTATGAGATGAAAACTACAATACACATAAAATTGGATTTCAGAGTCAATGGATAGTGTATTCAAACTGTCCATATCATAGAAACTTGGTAGACAGACATTTCTTTCAAATACTGCGTTTTAACTATAAGAAATGAGAGAAAATCCTTATCACTTACCATATACTTCAAGAGTTTGTATGGTCTTATTTGCTGCATAAATACACGACCAATTACCACGATCTGCCCAAGAAACCGATTTAATATGTAATTCATAAGTTTCGGCTCTTTGCCAATCATCTGGCTCACATATTAGGTGATACTTTTGTGCTTCGTACACGAAACACTTCTCTGAGATTAAGTTTTCTTTATGCCGAAATAACACTGCATATTTTGTTGAAAGTCGTATTCCTTGTACCTGACACCTCAAAATTACTTTTTGACCAATAAGTACTGGTTGGTTTGCTGGGATTACGGATAAACTGAATTTCGCAGAATCTGCAATAAATTGAAATGAAATATCCCAAGTTTGAGTAGAATTTGAGTGTGTGCATGAACATTTAGAGCTTTCGATTATCTACGCATTTACAATAAACATATGCCACACATAATTTACGTATGATTTCTGCGGAGAAAAACCTTCGAATAGCGAGAATTCAGGGTGAAGCGTGGAATTCGGATTACAGGCATTATGAAAACGTTCATGTTATAAAAAAACATGACGTGCAACATATTCATGTTTGTTACTCCACAACATGCCTTCAAAAACTAACTATTCTAAAATGAATATGTCCTGAGGTTAGCATTGTTTCTTTTTCTTGGAACTACTAATGTCAACAGAAACATCAAAAACAAAGAAACATTTTGGTACGTCTGAGTTTAGTGGGAATCACTATGGAATGAGTGCATTATTCAAGTTTTAGTCACTTCACAACAACACTTTGGGTAGCTGGAACATGTGTAATTTAGAATATAATAGTATGAACACATGAAGATGGAGTACTGGTGTTAAAAAAATATATACTTGACGGCGGCCTGCTTGAGCATCTGGGCTACCTGTTCCTGCCATCTAGATATTTCAACAAGTTATCTATCTTTGTTTGTTTTAATATATCATTATGTCTATTAATCGCACAACCTATACTGCTGCGTTTCTGAAAAATGTACAACCTTTCGTTATTAAAGTTACAAAAAGCTCAAAAAGAGAGAATATGGTTGCTGGCAATGTACAACGAAAAGAATGTACATCATTCCCATGTTCATTTACTGGACTGATAACATCTAGCTGGCGACCACTCAGTATTTATCGCGAGGACCGACCAAGAAGAAAGAAACGGAAACTTGTTGAAATACTTTGTGCTGAGAATTCTATATTGTACCAATAATATAATATTGAATAAAGCTATTAATAATAATAATAATAATAATGTCTGATAGTATATCCGATTTTCTGGTGGAAGTTGAAGATCTTATCAAACCCGCCGATTAAAACATTTAGATACTGTTGAGAATTTAGGTGATTAAACACCTTGGTGTCTTATTTTTTTAATATCAAATGAGTCTTCAGAATGAAAATAAACAAGGGTGAAACCTAAAACAAAGCTGGGTGCGCAAGATCAGACTCAATGTTAATATTTAATACCTAAAAGACATGAGTAACACACTTAAAAAAAACTGGACCACTCTACCTACTTTTATAACATTAACTCAATACTATAACCATTTTTATGACCATTCATAATGCTTGCTTCTTACCTGATTTTTCTATAAAGCATATAATTAACAAAATGAGATGCAACATTGTATTGAACTACTAGCCAGAATGCAACCAAAGAAAGGAGAATTCAGATGAAAAATCTGCTGAGATCAGGTAAGAATCTAAAATTTAAGATAACAAAATCAAAGAACGAATAAAATACTTCATTAGGTAATAGAGATGAACTACATGAGGAAACATGACATGTTACGATAAGTGTGAATTTTACGTTGCTAAATCGACGAAGAAGCGTGGATGTGAAAATACACTTATTTAGGCAGAAGTCAACTAAATGTGAACTATCAAGGGTAGCTAATTGCCGCTTAGTAAGGCAACAATCTGGAAATAAGTTCCAAGACCTAAAATTTAGTATTACTATACAACATGGAACTGAACGAAATAAGTAATGGGCAATGTTGTGCTTTGAGGTCTGGATCGGTTATAAAATATATTACTTATGGTATGCCAAAATAATTATTCACGGAAGGAAACTAAAACAAGTAATAAGGTATAATTTGCAAACGATGTAATAAACTTAAATTATCAGTATATATATATATATATATATATATATACCTTCTGACACACAGTCTCGTAGTATCAGTAGGAGATTTTCATATAACATCTCATCTTTAGACAACACGTGACTATCTGGCATTCACATCATGTCTAGATACACCCAGACCCTCAAGAAGTAATATATTAATACAGTATTTTGTGGAAAATTCTGAATTCAACAGTTTACAACACGGGCTGACTTCAAGTAACAGATGAAAACCATGGAGTACTGGACAGATATTTAGCCTTAGCATGTGACGCTTCAGCCGTGAAGATCCGTGACCCCACCGAGGGTCAAACCTAGGACCCTCAGGTCATACAGCAAGTGCCTAGCCTGTTTAGTTACCGACACACCACCTATTGGTTTGTATACTAAGATTCAACAGTTATCCAGAGTTCCCTGATTTTTAACAACTGTCTAACTAGGACCGCTAAGTGATGCAAACTATGATTTGACATCATGCATCTGGCTTCCGTATATGCACACATATAACACTTTACTGGAAATTCTATACAGAGAAATGACTAGTTTTGGAGTTTCGAGGAACACAATAGGTTATTTATGGTGTAAGTCCTGACAATTAAATCACTCAGTGTAAGTGCAGAACATGAGATGAAAGTAATCGCTGAGATATTATGTTTAAACGAGAAACATGCTATCAAATTCAATGAAACTTTCTTTGACTTAACACTTAAAAGTGACCAAAACTGTCACTGTTTCGAATGAGAGTTGCATATTCTAGTATTGATAGACGTACTTTGACTAACAGGCGTCATGGTTTATGAGCTTCTTCATACAACCTATTTGAACTTATGTCGTAATTACTGTGACTACACGAAAGAATGGTACACTATATTTAGTTAGAGAAACAATTGCAAAGCTACTGTGTATCGGACAACACACAGACAGAAGCGCTAAACAATCAGACCAGTGTTAAGAAGAACTAAGGTGGATAAACTGCGAATTTAGTAGCAAACATGTTCTTGGAAAATATATAACGATACAAAACGTTTTTACGTTTGACAGTTCTAGCAAGAAGCGGCTCTAAAATATGATCTCAAAAAACTAGTAAAACCCATTTGATATTCAAATCTTACGGCCAGGACTGATTCTTTATTTACTTCTTAAAATATTAAGTATTAGACCTGTGTTGGTAGCTTAAATCTTCCAGACAGAACGAAACGGGAGTTCTGGATCCCACTGCTAGCCATCACCCATCTCTCCTTTATGGCGTTCCTTTTTGTGATTGATTAGGCCAATGCTTAAAACCAACATTCTTAAACTAAATGTCTTATTTTCGTCAATCAAACTGACATATAGACGGAGAATGGCAAACTTAAACTATGCATCCCACCAATTATCCACATACATTAAGATGAACAATATCTTTTCTTATGATTACGCTACCATATGTGTTGTTGTTGCAAATCCGGAATATCAATTAAGTTCCAAAGGTTAATGGTGAAGATAAACCTAGTCTTTAAGCTAGTCTTGATAAACGGTCTGAATAAGATAAACTACGAGAAAATAGATGGTTCCATTAGGTTTTAGTAATCTGACACAACCACAGCTGTTCCGAGCGCTATATTTAGAAGACAATATTATATGTTACAGTAAATAAAGCAATACAAGTAAATTCGAAAGTAAACATTTTAGCGGTAGTTTGCAGTACTTCTGTGACGACCTTAAATAGGAGTTCGACAGTGAACTAGACTGTCATCTAATCAAGCTAAGCGAGGAAGAGCAAGACACGAGTACAGCTTCTAAAGTTTTCTGAAGGAGACTTATAAACAATGGTGCTTTGTATTTAACGCTAAACAGATCGACAGGGACGTAAGGCAGTTCTTAAGCATGAGCGAGTGTAGATTGTATCACTTGTATGACCTTCAAATATTAAAAACTGATTACTCCAAAATTTTGGCCTTTCGAAACGGATTCTTGGCATTCCAAGAGAGTAGGCACACAAAAATATTATGTGGATGATAAAGATGCAGCAACACTTAAGCATGATCTAAAGTATTTCTTCACGATGACTGTAATGTCACGTTATCTGCAGGCTAATAGTAAATTCGTAGGTATGTTGTAATGTGACAAGAACTTGATCAAGCTCGTCGTCATTCCTCTCGGTCGGAACCTAAAGTCTGGAGGAATACACAAAACTAACATTGACCAATTACTTGCAACGAAGAACAGGACCCAGATATATCAACGAAAACAAAGTAAACTGAACCAGCGATGAACAAATAGATTGAAAGACAATCTATGAAATGTGAGGAATAAAATATATAGTAATTTAAAATTATGAGTGAGTCTATAGTATATACAAACATTGAAAAAGTAGAGGAATCATGACAAACAACCTGGCGAGTATTAGTCCTGATTTCATTTAAGGGCAAACAACCCTCTCTTTACAGTCCGAGACTATTAGCTCAAACAAACAAAGCAAAATACTTGAGTGTTTACGCCATCACTTCATTGGCTTATTCATTATGTTAATCGTATGTAAGATGACACGTTGTTGTGAATAGTTATGATAGTGGGTTTGTCAACACTTATTCCTTCGTACGTTCTGAATCATTGTCATATCATCAAATATACTGATAATATTCTGTTCTTATGCACTTCCGATGAATCTCTGAAACTATTAATCACAATATTATGTGCTTCTGTGAAATCAGAGACTTCGTTATTCCTGAAATCGGATTTGCTGGACACACGTACAACGATAGTGATGACTTTACTGAAACTCATTTCATCAGTCTTATCGAACGTTTTAATTATTTGAAAGTGTGTTGTCTCCAACTCAACGAACAAGCAGTAAGGCGCCATCACTCTTAGAATTGACTTTTACAAGCAGAGAATCCCTAATTGATCACCTCTCAATCCTAGCTAACCTGAGAAAAAAATGTCCACGCCGTTATGCGCTCCCATTTTATCACTAAAAACTGGATTGAAATATCCTACTATTAACGGTCATTGTAATTTTAAAACAGTTGGATGTATCCGCTCTGAAGGACAAATTTAACAAATTGACTAGGAAGCCTGCTATCAATTGATATGGTTTCTCAGTGGGATGTCTTGCTGAACTTTCGAAATAAAAAATGATTGTACTTGTAGTGGCATTGAACCATAAACACACAATCCTCAAAGCTGAATACGAGATTACTCGGAAAATAGATATTCAATATTTAACGCGGAGAAATACCTAACAATGAAGAAGGCGCGAACAATGAGTTGAATAGACTGGAGTTGATCGAGTGGCATGGCTCGGCCATGCAGGCGTGGTCACTGCTGAATGTTATCTTATATCTTCTATTCGTATTAAATATATTCTTCTTTCTCTAGCCTAAGCTTGTTCTTCATCATGTATTGGTAATTGATACAATACAATGAGTTGGTGTAGTCGTTGGTGTGACTTCCACGTAAGATCTTATAGGTTAGGCAGTTATATCATGACAAATCTACAAATTTAGGATTAGGTCTATTATTAGAGCAGTACTAATATCATGGTAGACCATAATTCTACATACTACAAACAGCCCTCAAAAGTTACGCATAAGGAGCTGAACGCTTTATAACCTTTAGTCTACCGACCGGTAAAATTCATAAACACCATACAAATCACTAATAATACCATAGTACGAAGACGCTTACTTCAGAACACGGAATGTTGGCGTAACCAAATAAGATTAACAGTTCCAGCACATCAAATTCTTTAGCAGTTAGAGTGAAGTGTAGTTTTTTCTGGGCTACAGAACGACCCGATGGTGTCCACCAAGCTTCATTACAAATGCCCTATTGTTCTTTAATTTATATGAACGACCTTACCCAGCAAATGTTTCCTGAATTATCACTTTTGGGAGGAAATTGCAATCAGAATGATGACCTAGCACTTCAAGAGGATTTGATTCTACTGTCTATTCAGGGAACTAATGACAGACTTCATCTCATTAGTTCAAAATAATCTATCTGAAACACTTTGCAGATTACATGTATAATCTAGTTTGAAGATGCCACAGGTATTCGGAATTTCACAACGCTTTAACCAGCAACACCTTTTAATATGAAGCGTACCCAACAAGTGAAATCAAAAGACAGAAGCGAGGAAGTTCGAAGATATATTTGATATGCTATCAATATATCGAGAATCGTCTGATATAATCTGGCTTGCCATTGCAGGGGTTGTTGAGCACGGCGTTCTCACCCGTGATCTGGTGCGGATGCATGACCATCAGCAAGGTGAGTCCATTAAAACATGTGGTCAGCATCCAATGTCGAAAACTTACAGATCTTTTTATTTTGGGGATTTATACACAGCCGCAGGTAATTCCCCTCAAAATGTGTCTTAAATTGTAAAAGATCTAAGAATAATGTCACTTTAAGGTCCAAAGTCTTACACTAACTTTTACAAAGTGCTTCTGAAGAAAATCCCGCACTAACAACACCCAAGCTCATCTCTAACCAGTTTGACAGTAGAAATTTCCACTTAACAGTTTTCTTCGGCTCCATACGATGTGAAAAATATAGTGTACCATCCCTCACTCCGAAACGATAGGGACTGTCTTAAGGTGAACCAAGAAGTCAGTCCGAGGGCCAAAATTTAAACTCAATAAGGATCATCCAAAATCAACGGATCTCTGCACTCCTGGATATCGTCTACATTGCTAACGTAAGCTCAAACTCAACGTAAAGCTCAGTGGCACGACCCAGATGATCGAGGAACGACATAATAAAATGAATTGTAGGCTCATCTTTTACTCTTAACGAATGTCGAATTCTGGAATTCGCTACTGGCTGAGCTGGTTCAAGTGACTTTCCAGGAGTTCTTCAGTAGAAAACGTGGTCTGTTTCTAAGACATCACAACAGTACTTCATTGCAATCTATCAATCTAATGTTCTTTCGCTCGTTACGTATGCCTGAGTTCCTACTTGAAGACGTCGGAGGTCCACTGGTACTAGATACAGGAGCTCGTTAAGTGTAGGCTTCCGCTGTACTGTACACAATAATATGAAACGTTCGAACAATTCTGTAAGTACGATTTTGGTAATTTGGTATTTCATCAGGAATTCTAAAGAATGGTTTGTCCTATAACAGAGAGTCATCGCTCACACTACTAACCATATTCAATTCGGCTGACTATATGAATGTCTGAAATATACATGTCCTAACTACAAGTCGCATCTGACTTTTTACTCTTACGTTGCATTGACGTATTCGGTCGACAGAAGATAACAAAACTAACTAGGCTACGTATTTCAACAACAATATGACTGTCATTCAATTTTAAGTGAGTCAACGATGGAAAAAACCTTAGGCACCGATCGTGTTTTATAGAAATCCGTCTGTGCTTGACTCCAAGCACTAGTGTTTGCACGGGGTCATTTTCCCATGACATAGATGTAGTGACAATGAAATTTACATTTAACTTTCTTCAATAAATCCACATCAAAATGCCACATATCGATTTCTAGCAAATGAGTAGTAAGTATTTCTGTTGACAAGTTCCTAACATTTACTCCAGTCGTCTAATTTCATGGATTACAGAAGTCTATCTGAGGTTTAACACTAGTTCACAGAAAAAACGAACGACTGAGCTGGATGAAATAATTGATGAACCACTATCAACTTGCAGTCGACTGCCAATAATGCTGTTCACATTATTTATAACAAGTATTGTTAACAATAACAGAAACATTATGAAGTCTATAATAGATATTCTCCATTATTTTGAGTTCATTTTCTTCTGCTGACTACAACTCAGTAATTCTTAGCGTCGTTGAAATTATGTAAATTGAACGAGTGGATCTTGATGCAGTCATACAGGATCAGAGGTAATAATGTCGCAGCTCTATCGACACTTTGTGTGATCTATTTATAAAGTGTGAGAAACACTAGTTCCTCAAAAGAAAATACACTGTAATATCGTACAAATCGAAAGTGCTAACTGAAAGTAGGTTTACGTAATGGGCTTTTCGAATTAACTTGTTGTTTATAGAATTATAAAATGATATTCAGTTTACATTCAGTTACTAAATAGATAGTGATCTTACTTTTGTTAATGATTAGAAATATGACAGGCTTTCGTAATTTAAGTCGAAATTCAGGAATTGAGGAATTAACAAAATCTGAAATGAAATACTAACTCAATGATGAAATTGATTGAATATCGTGCTAAATTACGAGTTGAGTGTAATTTGAAACTATTAACCACTGAGTCTCAAGTTAAATGCTAATATAGTGCCGATAACACTTTCTGAACATCCTAGGCTCCAGCTCATATAGATAGTGACTGTACATTGACAAGAAGTACTAGGCTCTGATAAAACAACTAACCAGTATCTTCTACTTTTGTTCTCTAATTTTTATCAGTTCATAAATAATAAATTACCTTAGAATTTACATTCCTTCATTAACTGAAAAATCATTCTAAATATTTAATTTAACTAATAATTGAACAATTCATTATTGTCCATCAATTATCCATAAGTCATATAGTATGAAATATTAGTTTACTTATTAATGTAAAAATAAGTTTTCAATTATGTTGTAGTGTAGCGTCTAGTCGCGTTGACTATGATCACCATTACAAGAAGGTTGCGAACCAGATATCAGAAAACGATTAGAGGTTTTAGCGAGATATATTTGTTGGCGATCTCGTGATATCGAAAGAATACCGAGTTCGTGCCAAAGGAGTACAGACGGAATCACTGAGCAAACGTAAGTGCGTGCAAGGTCACAATCAAAGGAAGGAAGGATGTCTTTATTACACTTAAACAAACAAGTACAGTAAAACAATCACTGGTACAATTGGTTATAATAATAATTGTTCCTATTAAACCAATAGCGTTCTTTTGATAAAAGTATGTCACTACAATGTAATCACATTGGAGTTTTTTGAACCGAATTTTCCTATCTAGTACCAATCTAGACAGGGTAATATTTTCGCTAAATTCATCCTAATAGTTATTTTACATTGATATTTGAATAAAGTCAACAACAACAACCATAACAACGAAATGATATAAACATGTGAATAGAATGGTGAATAAGTTAAAAAAGGTTCTGCAATATAACAACATCCTATCTAGATTTATTCAAGAGATCATGTAAAGTTAAAAATTTTGATCTATCTATATATCTATATCTATAAAGACAGGAAGTTGTTTTATTATTTACCTTGTAACATTTAACATTCATTGAAAATTCATTATTAAATGGTTATGATTATGAAACGAATTTGAAAAGAAAATAATCATTCAACAACTAGTGAATTAATTTCACTCGTATTATCTGATAATTGAAGAGAGAGAGAAAAAAGTCGACTTCCATGATTTTTTTTTCTTTTCGAAATTTACATATGGTATACATGGAAAATTGTATATGCGATTTTGGTTATTTTATTTTCAGTTTATATAT